TTTGAGCTGATTATTGGATTGTGAGGGGCTTCCCAAGTGGCACTAGTGGTAAAGCACCTGTCTGCCAATGCCAGAGACTTAGAGAGATACAGGTTCGATCCCTGGGTCGGGAAGATTCCCCTGGAGGAGGGCATGGCAACCCGCCCCAGCATTCTTGCCTGGAGAATCCCATGGATGGAGGAGTCCATAGGGTCACAAAGAGTCAGACATGACTGAAGCGCCATACACACACGTGCACGCACGCGCGCACACACACACACATATTGGATAGTGAAAGGGCTCTATATTATAGACATTGATTGAAAACGCTACTTTCATAGTATATGCTTTTTGGCTGTGCTGTGTAGCTTGTCAGATCCTAGTTCTCTGACCAGGGATTGAACACAGGTCTCGGCAGTGAAAGCGTGGAATCCTAACCACTGGCCTGCTACAGGGGACTCCCCTAAATACACTTTTAAAAGAAGAGGAAGGAGGGGGGGTTCAGGATGGGGGACACATGTACACACATGGCTGATCCATGTCAGTGTATGGCAAAAACCACTACAATGTTATAAAGTAATTAGCCTCCAATTAAATAAATTAACTTAGAAAAAAGAAGAAGTGCTAAATGCTGTGAAGAAATAAAACAGGGACTGAGAGAGATGGGACAAGGGAGGCCTTTCTGAAACCTGAGGGTGTATCGGATCCAACCTGGTGGAGCTCTAAGGGGTGAACATGCCCCGCTCAAAGAGACCAGTGGGCACAAAGGCCCTCAGGTGGGAACAAGATCTGAGAATAAGAACTCAGATCTGAGCCCCAAAGGAAGCAAATCTCCAGGGGAAAGTCTGAGTGAGTGGTCATATAGTAGGTGCTCAATAAACGTTCCCTGCATTTCTGGGACTCATCAGTGCTCGGGTTCATCTGGATGTCCCACCTGGGGGTCCCCAGGTGTTTCCGTGGGCCCGCAGTGGGCGGGACAGCGGTCCGGGCCTCCTGAGATCCGTGTCTGTGCGTGTCACAGAGAGCGGTCTCCGAGTGCCTGGAGGTCTGTGTTTCCTGTCACCAGAACCCCCAAACAGGCCTCTCTGGAATCCTGCGGTGACAAAACAAGGAGCCTCATTCCATTCCTCCTGAAAAAAAGAATAAAGAAAATACTTGCTGGGAATTTCTGAGCAAGTGAGAACACGGAGGTGGCAGAAGCCACCATCGCCTTAAAAGGCAGAGCCAGCGACTTCGTGGAGTTCACCTGGAGACGGGCTTGGGGGTGGAGGTGCTCTTCCCCAATCCTCGTCCTTCAGTCCTCACCACCCATCACCCCGAGCCCTGCCCCTGCCCCCTCCGGGTGTCTGGCCTTGGCTTCCAGCAACCTCACCCTTCTCCCATCGGCTCTCAGCACGCAGCGGCTTGTCTGAAGCTTCTGTGGGTCCCCCGCCCTCCTTACGACATTCGCTGCTAGGCTGGCACTCAGGGCCTGCTGGCCCCTCCAGCATCCTATGCCTCCTGGGATCCAGACTCCTGGCTGCTCCCAGGAACCCCAAGAGCTCTCCCTGTCCTTCTAGCAAAGGATCCGAAGCCCGAGCTGGACCCCTGCCAGGAGAGGAGAGGGGGTGGCCTGCAACTCTGTAGGAGGCAAGAAAGCAACATCTAAGAGCCCAGGAATTAGGGAGGTGGCATCCAGGACACTTCCAGGCCTATTAACACATTGTTATTCAGTCGCTAAGTTGTGTCTGACTCTTCTGTGACCCCATGAACTCTTGTCTGCCAGGATCCTCTATCCATGGGATTTCCCAGGAAATAATACTGGAGTGGGTTGCCATTTCCTTCTCCAGGGATCTTCCCGACCCAGGGATTGAACTCGCATCTCCAGCATGGCATGCGGATTCTTTACCCCTGAGCTACCAGGGAAGCCCCTATTAACATCAGAACTATTAAATGTTGAATGACTGCCCTTGGCACCCATCAGCCCCCTGGACCCACAGTGCTGCCAGGGCCCAACTTCACCAGCTCCTCGCCTTTGATAACCAGCGCTCACGTTGACTTTGAAGGCCTCCAGAGAGTGGTGCCTGGGTTAGCAGGTGGTAGTAATTATGAATAATGTACACCTATTATAGTACATAGGCACTGTCCTATATACTTCATATATGTAAACTCAATACTCAGGCAAAGGAGAAAAGGAAAGCTACATCCATCTGAATGCAGAGTTCCAAAGGAAAGATAAGAAAGCCTTCCAAAGTGATCAATGCAAAGAAATAGAGGTCAACAATAGAAATGGGAAAGACTAGAGATCTCCTCAAGAAAATTAGAGATACCAAGGGAACATATCATGCAAAGATGGGCACAATAAAGGACAGAAATGGTATGGACCTAACAGAAGCAGAAGATATTAAGAAGAGGTGGCAAGAATATACAGAAGAACTGTACATAAAAGATCTTCATGACCCAGATAACCACGATGGTGTGATCACTCACCTAGAGTTAGACATCCTGGAGTGTGAAGTCAAATGGGCCTTAGGAAGCATCACTATGAACAAAGCTAAAGGAGGTGATGGAATTCCAGCTGGGCTATTTCAAATCCTAAAAGATGACGCTCTGAAAGTGCTGCACTCGATATGCCAGCAAATTTGGGAAACTCAGCAGTGGCTGCAGGCCTGGAAAAGGTCAGTTTTCATTCCAATCCCAAAGAAAGGCAACGCCAAAGAAATGTTCAAATTACCCCACAAGTGCACTCATCTCACACGCTAGCAAAGTAATGTTCAAAATTCTCCAAGTTAGGCTTCAAAACTATGTGAACTGAGAACTTCCAGATGTTCAAGCTGGATTTAGAAAGGGCAGAGGAACCAGAGATCAAATTGCCAACATCCATTAGATCAAAGGAAAAGCAAGAGTATTCTAGAAAAACATCTACTTCTGCTTCATTGACTACACTAAAGCCTTTGACTGTGTGGATCACAATAAACTTTGGGAAATTCTTAAAGAGATGGGAATATTAGACCGCCTTACCTGTCTCCTGAGAAATCTGTATGCAGGTCAAGAAGCAAATTGGGAAAGGAGTACATCAAGGCTGTATATTGTCACCTTGCTTATTTAACTTGTCACCTTGCTTATTTAACTTATATGCAGAGTATATCATGCAAAATGCCAGACTGGGTGAAGCACAAACTGGAGTCAAGATTGCAGGGAGAAATATCAGACATGCAGATGACACCACCCTTATAGCAGAAAGCAAAGAGGAACTAAAGAGCCTCTTGATGAAAGTGAAAGAGGAGAGTGAAAAAGTTGGATTAAAACTCAACATTCCAAAAATGAAGATCATGGCATCCGGTCCCATCGCTTCATGGTAAATAGATGGGGAAACAATGGAAACAGTAACAGACTTTATTTTCTTGGACTCCAAAATCACTGCAGATGGTGACTGCAGCCATGAAGTTAAAAGATGCTTGCTCCTTGGAAGAAAAGCGATGACCAACCTAGACAGCAAACTAAAAAGCAGAGACATTACTTTACAGACAAAGGTCCATCTAATCAAAGCTATAGATTTTCCAGTAGTCATGTATGGATATGAGAGTTAGACCATAAAGAAGGCTGAGCACTAAAGAAATGATGCTTTTGAACTGTGGTGTTGGAGAAGACTTGAGAGTCCCTTGGACTGCAAGGAGATCAAAAGGAAATTGGTCCTGAATATTCATTGGAAGGACTGATGCTGAAGCTGAAGCTCCAATACTTTGGCCACCTGATGAGAAGGACTGACCCATTGGAAAAGACCCCGATGCTGAGAAAGATTGAAGGCAGGAGGAGAAGGGGATGACAGAGGATGAGATAGTTGGATGGCATCACCGACTCGATGGACATGAGTTTGAGCAAGCTCCAGGAGGTGGTGATGAACAGGGAAACCTGGTGTGCTGCAGTCCATGGGGTCACAAAGAGTCAGACACGACTGAGCAACTGAACTGAACTGAACAATATTCATGAGGCAGCTCCTATTATTACCCCATTTTATAAATAAGAAACTGAGGCTCAGAGAGAGTGAGCAACTTGCCCAAGGGCACACAGTATATAACTGGTAGGGTGGGATTTCAACCCGGGCATCTGTTCACCCTGATCCTATGTACTAGGGGTCTGCAAATCATATTTTGGCTCAAAGGAGAAGGAGTTGGTGCTTATTTGGTTTTTGTTTGTTTGTTTGGGCATTGCCATGCAGCATGAGAGATCTCAGGTCCCCGACCAGGGATAGACCCCTGTCCCCTGCAGTGGGAGGCATGCAATCCTAAGCACTGGATTGCCAGAACAGTGTCCAAGGAGGCTTATTTGTTGAGTACCTACAATGTGCCACACCTTACGTTAGACCCTTTCAAAGCTACTTTATTTAATCCTTGCAACCACTATTCCCATTTCACAGATGGGGAAAATGGGGGCCCAGAGATTCAGAGACTCTTTCCAGGTCAGAGAGTTAGAATGTTCCCTGCCAGGCATCTTAGATGCTGTCTCCCTGGGTGATCATGACAGTCCTCTGAGTGGTGTGTCAAGGTTCCTGGTGTCACTCCTGTTTTCACAGTGAGGACATTGAGACCTGGGAGATTAAGGCAGAGCCCCTCACCCAGACTGGACTCTCAGCAGTGCTGACGCAGAGAGCCAAGTCCGGGCACCAGGAGCTTGGTGCTAACCATTGCACTGCACTGCCCTCATTGACTGGGGGCCTGGAGGCTCCCTGTGAGGAGCGAGAGAGGATGCCATATCCCAGCAGCCCCCATGGCACCCACCACCCCTCGTAGATGCACGACTCTGGCCTCTGCATCCTTGAGAGGTGGCGGGGTGGGGGGCACCAGGGGGTGCTACCCTCAGGACGGCCAGCACCCTGACGGGGCTGCAAGGTACCACAGTTGGCCCCCTCCTCCTGCCCGAGCCCCACAGCTGGCCTCCGGGTCACCGGGCTTCATGTGACTATGGAGAAGTGACCTCTTCCCGCCGCTCCCCGCCCCAGCCCCTCGCAGCCAGGCAGAGGAAAAGGGCTGTGAGAGAAGGCGCTAAAGATAGCTGACGGCCAACTTCCCCATCTCCCTGGCCACCGCCTCGTCCCCCGCCATGGGCTCTTCCAAGCAGGCCCCCACCCCACAGCAGCCGCTCCCCAGAGCCTGCGGCACCACAGAGGGACCCAGGCCGTGGTCCTAATGTGCAGGCTCCCCACCGTCCAGGTGCTAGGCCAGGCAGGGATGTGACTTGTCCTTTCTCGAAGTCCCCACCCCCCCGCCCCCCAAGCTGACAGGAGGGGAGCATTTTTATCACCCCCGTGTTCTCTGTGGGGAGCCTGAGCAGAAGGGGGCAGCAGCTCCCTGGGACACAGCAGCCCATTCACGCCCCAGTGCCCACGAGCACACCTCCACCCTGACAGTCAGGTTCCACCCGACTGTGAACACACCCGCATGGCGCCACCATGGCCCATGGAGATAGCATGCCCTTTGCTTCCTCAGGGCCAGCCGCTCACCTGAGCACTCCAAGACATGTTCCATCAGAGGCAGGGCTCTCCCCTGCTCGAGAGCTTTCCATGACTCTCCGCGACACATTTCTTCGTGCATACAGCAAAAATGTGTATTAAGCACATCCTGTGCATCCGGCTGAGCGCCAAAGAATTAATGCTTTTGAACTGTGGTGTTGGAGAAGACTCTTGAGAGCCCCTTGGACGGCAAGGAGATCAAACCCGTCCATCCTAAAGGAAATCAGTCCTGAATATTCATTGGAAGGATGGATGCTGAAGCTGAAGCTCCAATACTTTGGCCGCCTGAGGCGAAGAGCCAACTCGCTGGAAGAGACCCTGATGCTGAGAAAGACTGAGGGCAGGAGGAGACAGGGCTGATAGAGGATGAGATGGTTGGATGGCATCACTGGCTCAATAGACATGAGTTTGAGCAAACTCCAGGAGATGGTAAAGGACAGGGAAGCCTGGCATTTTGCAGTCCATGGGGTCGCAAAGAGTCGGACATGACAGCAACTGAACAACAGCAGCAATGCATCAGGCACCTTGGTGCGGCATTCAAAATGCATCACCATTTAGCCCCAGTCAACCTACCAACTCATCACAGGCTGGTGTGCCCGGGTCACGTGGGACCACCAGAGTCATCCTGCCCAGGCCTTCCGGCTGTGCCGTGACGACCCCATGAGGTGAGTCAGGCTGGATTCCGGCTCAGCCCCTCCCAGCACCATGACAGCCCCCGGGAGACTGCAGTGAGGATTCAGCGGGTCCTGTGTGGGACATGCCGCTGACCTAAGTCTTCACTCAGTGTCCAGTCCACACTGCCTATTGGTAAATACTGAATGTGTGGACAGGGCCCCAAGGAGGCAGGGTTTCACTTCTGTTCCACAGATGACCAGACCGCTTGCCATGAGAACTCAGCATCTGGGCCTCAGTTTCCTCATCTGAAAGAATGGGGGCTCAGGGAAGCCTGGGTTGGATCTCTCAGGGCATTTTCAGCTCCAAGGCTGAGACAGTTAAAGCCCAAGGGCAGCACAGAGCAAGAAAAGAGAGAGAAAAAGGGAGGGAAAGAGAAATTCCACGGGCAGCAACAGTCAGGGAAGCCTTCCTGAAAGAGGGAGGCCTGAGTTGAACTCTGAAAGCTGAGCGACACCCAGCCCAGGGCTAACCTGAATAGGAATGGATGGTTCTGGAAGGGTGGGAAGCCATAGTGCAAAGGAATGAGTTTGTAACAGGGATTTCAGGCACAGCAGGAACCAAGTCAAGAGAGATTCGGGGGTAGCTGGTGGGAGGTCTCCCCTGAGACTGTCGTTGCACCTCATCGCAGGGAGCCGACTTCTGCAGGCCAGGTTGGGATGGGTTGGGGTGGGGCCTCGTGGCCTTGTATATCTGGAGCTTGCCGCACATTGCCTCTCTCTCTTACATTTTATTTTTTATTTTTGGTGGTGCACAGGCTTCTCTAGGACTTTAGTTGCCCTGCAGCATGTGGGATCTTAGTTCCCCAACAAGGGATCAAACCTCTGTCCCCTGCATTGGAAGGCAGATTCCTAACCACGGGGCCACCAGGGAAGTCCCCTCTCTCTCTTTTTAAAAAAAATATTTATTTATTTTTTTGTTGGCTGCATCGGGTTTTAGTTATGGTACGGGATCTGCACTGTGGCGTGTGGGCTTCTCTCTAGTTGTGGCATATGGGCTCAGTAATTGTGGGGCACGGGCTTAGTTGCCCTGTGGCATATGGGATTTTTAGCTCCACCACCAGGATAGAACCCGAGTCCGCTGCCTTGGAAGGTGGATTCTTAACCACTGGACCCCCAGGGAATTCCCTGCATTGGCTCAGTTACTCATCACATCTAGAGGGGCAGCCAGCATAGAGAGGACAGCCAGTTCACAGACTAGGAATCCGGGCTTGACCACTGGGGTTCCTCTGCTCCCTTTTATCTAGAGGAGGGAAGGGAGAGGAAATTTTTCATAGAAGCAGAAGGCCCACCCCTCAGAGCTTCTGCTAGGCTCTCCCCTCTGCCAGAATGTTTCCCTCTGACGCTCTCTCTGCTTCTCCCGCACCATCCGCACCAGCATTATCACTCCATTATTTTTGCTGCTTTTTGCTCTGTGTCTGTCTTCCCGGCCACACGGCACCTCCCCGAGTCAGAGGCTAGGTCTGTCCTGCTCATTTTGTGCCCTCTGTACACAGCACAGGGCCGAGCACATAGCAGGTCTTCGACAGATATTTCTTGAAAGACCAGCTGACCGAAGGCATGAATAAACAAACTTAAGAATGAACAAAATGGTTTGTCCAAGGTCATCCAGGTAGTCAGGGGAGCAGGGCCCGGGGGGAATCCCAGGGCTCCTGCCTCTTGCTTTCTGTCTGGTTTTCCTGCTTCTGTCTGGATGTCCTTGCAGAGGGTCCACCCAGCAGCCGGAGTGACCTGTTAGAACTCAAGTCAGGTTGCCTCCCTCCATACAGAGCTTCAATTTTACAAGATGAAAAGAGTGACAGGGATGGGTGGTGACTGCCAGCTGCGTGAATGTATATCAGTATTTATTTATTTATGTCTTCAGCTGCACTGGGTTTTAGTTGTGGCACGTGGGATCTAGTTCCCTGACCAGGGATTGAACCCTGGCCCCATGCACTGGAAGGGTGGAGTCTTAGCCGCTGGACCACCAGGGAAGTCCTGTGAACGTATTTCATATACTGAACTGAGCACCTAAAAATGGTTAAGGTGGTATATTTCATCTTACTTGTATTTTAACACACACACACACACACACACACACACACACACACACGGCATCCTTCCTCTGCTCAGAACCCTGCAAGGTTCCCATCAATGCCCAGTTGCTAGAGGAAAAGCCTAGGTCACCTTAGACACACTACCACCCTGACCTCACCTCTCTCACTCTCCCCAAACTCATGCTCATCCACGGCCACACTGACCTCTCTGTTCCTCTAACATGGTAGGCTCACTCCTGCCTCAGGACCTTTGCACTGCCTCTTTCCTCTTCCTAGAAGGCCTCTCCCTAGAAGTCTGCAGTGTGTTAGTTGTTCAGTCGTGTGTGACTCTTGGTGATCCCATGGTCTGTCCTTGGAATTCTCCAGGCAAGAATATTGGAGTGGGTTGCCATTCGCTTCTCCAGGGGATCTTCCTGACCCAGGGAGAGATACTGCTTTCTCACTGCAGACATCACCCTATCTACTGCTGCTAGAACCTGCTTCCCCAGCACTCCCCAGCACCTGGCCTCCCCTCCACGCTTTTCTCTCTTCTGCAGCCTGTCCCCTGATACTGAAACCAGAGGGAAAGGGGAGGGCACAACCTTTAAAAGAATGACATAGCCCGAGGACACAACATAAACGGATTAGAACCAAATCTTCGAGATGGCAGATGAGCCGACTTCCGCTAGACCTTGAGCCTCAGAACACGCTCATTGTAACACATCAGCAAGCTAAATACACACCCACAGGCACCATGACAGTCCCAAGGCTGACCATAAAGGTCAAAAAGTGAGTGCGACCCAAATCCTGGAAATTCCCCACCCCTTTCCCCAAATAGCTGGAATACTCCTCCCACTTATTAGCCCATGAAATTACCCTCCCCTACAAAATCTGACAACCCCCATGCCCTGGTGGTGCTCAGATAAATCTGTTTCTTACCTATCACTTTGCCTCTTACTGAATTCTTTCTGTGACGAGACATCAAGAACCTGAGCTTCATGAAGTTCTGACTCCAAGAGTGTGGTTTCAGTGAAAAGATTGCGGGTTCAGGTCCCAAACTAAGTTCCATGGTTCCACTACCATCTGTAGAATGGACTTATTCATCATATTTACTGTTTGTGGTCCAATCTCCTGTTCTCCAGGTTTCCAGAGAAGTTGGGAGTGCGTGGAAAGGGATGTGGTCTGGAGCGCGTGAGAGAGAGGAGAACTCCAAGAGGCCAGCAACTTCCCCAAAGCAAATTTAGGAAAAAGCTGAAGTGAAAAAGGCTTGGGCAGCTGAGGGTTTCCTGCAGGCGGTCCCAGGGGCTGGGGGCTAGTGTCCAAGTCCGAGTGTGCATGTGTGTGACTGTTGCTCTGTGTGTGTGTTTCTCTGCACACAGGTACGTGGGTGGTGGGCAGAGGGGATCCTGAAACAAGCGCTCTGCCCTCTGTGGGCTGTAGGGGTTGAGCTAAGTGGTCTCAAGACTCCCCAGTGCTGCGGGCTCAGTGCTTCCGTCCTTCGCCTGCCCAGGGCGATGTGACCTAACAGGACAGCACGTGGGCTCTGGAGCCGGATTCTCGGCTCCATCTCAGCTCTGCTGCTGACTGTGTGACTTTGAGGAAGCCATTCAGCCACACTGGGCTTGGTCTCATCATCTATAAAACGGACGTGATCACGCCAGAATCCGTTCCTAGGTTTGCTGCTGGGATCTGATGAGCGAAGGCCTGTGAGGGGCCAGGACCAGGGGTGCGGCCTCTGTAAAGACCCATAGTCCGTATTAGTCTAAGACCCAGCCCGCCTCGGGGAGTGGGTGTGCAGGCAGAGGCCGCCACCGGCAGGGCAGTGGGGCTGCAGGGGGAAGCCCAGGGTGGTCCAGAGGAGACACTGGCCCCAGGCAGGTGGCCTCACTGAGGCCTTGGAGATGAGGATGCTCTGGCCGGGGAAGGACGGGGAGCCAAGGAGGCTGCAGGGAAAGAAACGGCCTGGCACAGGCCACCAGGAACTCCGTGAGACCCACGCCTGTGGGATCCAGGGATGAGGCTGGAGTGCAGCCACAAAGCCCTAACGAGAGCCAAGCTGACTTAGACCTTGTCCCTGGGCAGTGTGAGCCCTGGAGGGGTTTGAACGGGGGTGTGGAGGCCTCTGCCCGAGGTTTCTGAAGAAACTGCAAGTGTTAGTCAATCAGTCGTGTCCGACTCTTTGCGACCCCATGGACTGTAGCCCACCAGGCTCCTCTGTCCATGGGATTTCCCAGGCAAGAATACTGGAGTGGGTTTCCATGCCCTCCTCCAGGAGATCTTCCCGACCCAGGGATCGAACCCTGGGTCTCCTGCATTGCAGGCAGATTCTTTACCACCAGGGAAGCCCAAGGCTTCTTTCTTCCAGGCTAATGAGGAGGCACCATCCCAGCATAGGCTGAGAAGATGAGACATTTTTTGTACACAGTACTGAGACAGCAAGGGCTGAATAATTACAGCATGCAACTTAGTGGAGGAGTGAAGTCTTAAGCAGGCAGAGAAGCCCAGGGGAACATGATCTGGGAAGGCTTCCTGGAGGAAGACACCCTGGAAGTGAGCCTTACTGGAAGCCATGAGAGACTGCTGCAGCGAGCTGGGTGACTTTGGGTGAACGGCTGCCCTCTCTGGTCTCAGATTCCAGGTGCCCTGCCAGGCTCGACTGAGGCCCCTCCTCTGTGGCTGTCTCAGCTCTGACATTCCGCGGTCAGGGAAGGGGACGACTGGAATCTGCCAGGGGCAGATTCTTGGTTTAGACAGAGAGACCGCCTGCCTCGGTTTCCCCTCTGCATCGGGCTAGGGCGAGGCAGGGAGAATAATAATGCTTGATTGTCAAAACCTTGTATGCCTCAGGGGCCAGATGCCAGGGATTGTTTTCCATTCCTAGGAGGGTGGGCCCTTCCTGCCAGGAGAAAATTCCAAGCTCCTCCAGCCAGGGAGGGGGTAGACCCTGCCACCCCTGTGACCACACACCCGCCGCCCGAACCTGTGGCATCAAGGGCCTTCTTTCTCTTCTCCTCTCTGTTGGCAAAAGGAAGCTGCCCAGGGTGTGGAGGAGAGGCCCTCGGCTCCTTCGATTTGCTCAGAAGCGCCCCCTCTCCCTTCCTGCCTTTGCTGTTCCAGGAGCAGAGAAACCTGCCCAAAGCAGGGGCCAGTGGAATGACCCCGCGAAGGACTGGCTTGGTCTGCTCCTGGCTGTCTGTTAGCCTGGGTGGTGGGAAGACTCCCCGGCTCGTGTCCTCTGGGATAATGCATTTGTTGTTTGCGAATTTTCTGCTTAATCTGCCTGCCAATGCAGGAGACTCCAGCTTGATCCTGCATTGGGAAGATCTCCTGGAGAAAAGAGTGGCAACCCACTCCAGTATTCTTGCCTGGGAAATCCCACGGACAGAGGAGCCTAGCGAGCAACAGTCCAGGGGGTCGCAAAAGAGATGGACACGACTAAACAACAATGACAACAAAGAGCTCTTGATCCCAGAACTCCAAACCATGGAAATCCAAGTTTCTGTGGTCCTGAGCTTTGGTTGCAAGAGATTGCATTTCTGAAATTATTTGGTTCGAAGAGTCTTGGGGGCCTGGAATAAAAATATTCCAATATCTGATAGTCCTGGAATTTTCTGGTTATGAGAACCCATGGTTCTAGAATGTTCTAATTCCCAGACGCTGTGGTTCTGGACATCTGGATCCAGTTGCCTGTATTTCCTTTGCCACATATTGTGTCGAGGATGCCCCAGGAGCTGGTGGTGGGGCAGGAGGTGCCCTGGGGAGGGGGCGGTGGCGGGGTGGCGCGGTGGCAGGCCAGGTGTGCTGGTGTGGGTGTTGGCGGCAGCTCTTGCCGACAGCTGGGCAGGGGCTGCTGTCTGAGCTCAGGGCACCTGGCCCTGACCCAGGACTGGGGGGTGGAACCCAGAAGAGGCCAGGCTGAGAGCCTTCCAAACACTCCGCCACCTCCTTCCTTCCCTGGGACCCTACTCCCATTGCCTGCTGAACTCACAGTGGGCGAGAGTGCTGGCCCATTGGGGGAAACCCCCCGCCCCCCATGAACAAGTGGGGGACTCTGGGTGCAGCCTGCTCCCACTGAGGACAGGGGCAGTCCAAGACCTGTCCCCAGCTTCCCGCTGCCAATCCAGGGCTCTTTCCATGTGGTCTCACATTATCCATCCCCTCAAACACCCCTCTTCTTCCCGAGACATTTGGTGTCTGGTCATAGACGGTCACCCCCACAACATCCCGGGTCCGGAGCTTTGAGTTTGATACCCAGGGGTCCTCAATCTTCCCACCTGGGTCCTGGAGGAGGTACGCTCTGTGCCCCTGGGGCTCCCGCATCTGCTCTGACTGTCTGCTTCTTCGGCACCCCTGGCCCTTCCCCAGACTCCCCTGTGCCCTCCTGGCTTCCATGGGGAGGGCCTCCCCACCCTGCTCCACGGCCCCACTTGGCTCCCTCCCAGCAGGCTCGTGGGAGCTGGAATTTGGAGCGGTCCCTGGCGTGTGCGCGCTGCCTCCCGCCTGCCGGGGCACCTCCCCTGACTCGGGCCAGGAATTCCTCCAGCTTGCTCCCAACAAGCCCCCAGGGAAGGAGGAGTGGTGGGAAGGGGCAGGGAACAGGCTAGAAGTCAGGACCGAGTGGGGGTTGGTTGGGAGGGAGCCATGGTCTGGAGACACCCAAGGCAGGACAGGCCTACGAGAGGAAGGAGAAGAAGGGGAAGTGGGTTCTGCCCACGTCCCACAGCTCTTGTCTCCAGTGCCATCATGTACAGATGAGGACGGCTTTAGAGTCCTGCTATGCCCTTCTCTGATGCTGGGAAAGACTGAGGGCAGGAGGAGAAGGGGGCGACAGAGGATGAGATGGTTGGATGGCATCACCGACTCGATGGACATGAGTTTGAGTAAACTCCAGGAGATAGTGAAGGACAGGGAGGCCTAGCGTGCTGCAGTCCACGGGGTCGCAAAGAGTTGGACACAACTGAGCAGCTGAGCAGTAACAGCAACATACACTTCTATGGATTCACTGATTCAAGCCTTTAATGAGCACCTACTATGTACCAGACATTGCACTAGGTACTGGGCTACACCTGTGAGTAAAAACCTGCCCACAGGGGACTTATACTCTGGGAGCAGACAGACGATGAAGGCAGACACTTCTGAGTTGTACTCCCTCAATACCTGCTCCCCAGACTGTGAATTCCTAGGGGTCAGGACCATCCCACCTTGAAGCCTCTGGATCGTTCTGAACTCAGCCCTCTTCCAGCACTCATGCCTCCCCTACCACCCTAACCCAACAGGGTGCTGGGAACTGTGGCCCTTGGCTGAGCATGCTGGCCCAGAAAACATCTGCCCCTCACTCCTATGGAACCTTGGGAGAGGTGTGGCCCCCTCCAGGCCTCAGTTTACCTATCTGCAAAGTGAGACACTGGGACCATCTGTGGGGGGCCTACCTCCTCCATCCCGATGGCTTCTCACTTAGGTATCCAGGGCACATGGGAGCCAGGCATCTTCCAGGGGCCTTCGGCTGCTGGGGAGGTTGGCCTCAGGGCTGGTGATGTATTTCCAACTGCCTGCCTGGCCCCGCTTCAGCTTGCCTGGTCCTCCGGCTGTGAGGCCCAGAGCAGTGATGTCACTGCTGGGGAGACGGTGACCTCAGGTGGGGGTTACCCTGCCTCAGGCTCCTCTGGCCCAGCACCAGGCCTGCTTCCTACAGGGGGCCTTCGTGGGTTCCTCTGCTATTCTAAACACCTCTCAGCTAATCCAGACCCTCACTGTGGGCTAATAGACCCCCATCTGGGTGCCAGTCGAGCCGCTCTTAAGTCCTTCTGGCACGCCTAGAGGGCTGGGCAGGGATCTCTGGAGCGGACTGAGGAGTTTTTGTGCAACTCTAAGCTGCTGTGTGCTCTTGGGCCAGTCACTGTTCCTTGCCGGGCCTCCACTCTTCTCCCGAAACAGGAGCCAGTTTCCAAACTGGGTCCTTCAAGGCCCTTCCAGTGAGGAGCAGGTGAGAAGCCTGACCCAGAGCAGGTGGCCCTGAATGAGTGGCAGAAAGGGATGGTTCCCTTGGTAGCAGGGGCATCTCAAACATTCCCTACTCTTAGGCTTTAACGGCATCGCCGAGCCGAGCCGATGTCTAACTCAGTCCCGTGCTGGGCTGCCTGCTCCCCTCCCAAGGCCCGAAACAGAGCTCTAGCCCCCCAACCTGCTCCTCCCTGGCGGTCTTCAGCTCAGTAAATGCACCATGCCCATTCAGTTGCTTAAGCTAAAACCCACTGGTCCTCCTTACTGCCCACAGACTGTTACACAGGCAAATCTCACTCGGCGGGCAATAAGCCGGGGCATGGAAGGAGCATGGGCTGTGGCTGCACGTGTGTGAAAGTCAAGAGCCGGCAGATGTTTCCCTTCGGGCAGGGACGGGGTGCCGACCGGAGAGAGAATGAGGATGCTTCTGGAGGCCGGAAGAGATCTTGTCTTAATCTTGGAGCCGGTTTTGTGGGTAGGTTGAGTTAAAAAAAAAAAAAAAATCTAATGATCAGTTTTGATTTTACTTCATGAATGAATGCATGCATGCTAAGTCACTTCAGTCATGTCCAACTCTTTGCGACCCCATGGACTATAGCCCTCCAGGCCCCTCAGTCCATGGGATTCTCCAGGCAAGAATACTGGAGTGGGTGGGTTGCCATTCCCATTTCCAAGGGACCTTCCTGACCCAGGGATCGAACCTCATCTCTTACATCTTCTGAGTTGGCAGCTGCGTTCTTTACCACCAGTGCCACCTACCTCGTGCAGCAGGAGGTAAGATCCCACCTCTCATATACCTTCCCATTTAGCAGGGGCAGGGGCAGGGGCAGGCAGCCATTAACCCAGAAAAGCAAGAAACGTATGACAAATCAGCGCGGGAAGAGCTAGGACGGCGCGGATGAAGGATCAGGGAGATGAGACCAGAGGAAGTGAGGAAAGGGGCCTGGAAGGACAGTGCGAGCAAAGGTCCTCAGGAGAGAGATAAGGACAGGGTCCTGATCCAGGGGTTAGAAGAGGTCGCTGCAGGGGTTAGAAGGGGCTGCTGTGAGGAGAGGGGCATTGGAGGTTGTCATTCTAGGGACTGATATATACATATATATATATATATCTTCCCAGGTGGTGCAGTGGTAAAGTGTAAGAGATGCAAGAGACGCGGGCTTGATCCCTGGGTCAGGAAGATCCCCTGCAGTAGGGAATGACAACCCACCCTAGTATTCTTGCCTGAAAAATTTTGTGGACAGGAGCCGGGCAGACTACAGTCCATGGGGTTGCAAAGAGCTGGACATGACTGAGCATGCACGCAAAACAACATATGTATATACATATATATATTTAAATTAAATGTTTATTATTTGGCTGCCTCAGGTCCCAGTTGCATCATGTGGGATCTTTTTTTGTGGGACACGAGCTCTCTAGTTGCAGCACATGGGCTTGGTTGCTCCACTGGGATCTTAGTTCCTCAACCAGGGGTTGAACCCACGTCCCCTGCATTGCAAGGCAGACTTGTAAGCCACCAGGGAGATTTCTCTCTATGTATTTTGATCGTGCCACATAGCATACGGGATCTTAGTGCCCCGATCAGGGATGGAATCCAAGCTCCCTGCAATGGAAGCATGGAGTCTTAACCAGTGGACCCCCAGGGAAGTTCCTACTTGATTTTTAAAAAATTTTTTAAATTTTTTTGGCTATGCTGCGTCTTAGTTCCAGCACTTAGAATCTTCGATCTTTCTTTCACATGCAGCATCTTCAGATGTCGCTTGTGAACTCTTAGTTGTGGCACGTGAGACCCGGTTCCACCAGGGATGGAACCGGAGCCCCCTGCATTGGGAGCACGGAGTCTTAGCCACTGGACCACCAGGGAAGTCCCGAAGAGCACCTCTTATCTGACCCCATCTGCACCTGGGTTAAGGTGGGAGAAGGGGTTCCCATCTCCCCTGGGCCAGGGTTGCCCTGAGTCCTCAACCTACATCGAAGCTTCCAGCTTTGCCTCCCCTGGGCGTGGGCTGGGAACACGTGCGCCAGGTGAGTGAACAGTCTCTGACAGGCTGCCTGGCCTTTGTGTATCAGGCTCACATCCTCGCCGTGAGGATTTGTTTGGACATTTCCCCCGCTGGGTGCAGCTCAGAGCTGTTCTCGCAGGAAGAGGAGGGTGTGGGCTGGGACTCACGACCCGGGCTAGATCTCATCACTGTTGCTCCTCACTGGGTGGCCTTGGCAAGCTCCTTCCTCCCCAGTCGGCCTCCCGGCCTGTAAAATGGGGATATTCCCACCCGGGCAGGGGTCGTCAAGGGCCAGTCCAGGGCTGGCCCACTGGAGGTGTGTCCAGCAGCCCAGGAGTGCAGGCATAAAGGAGAGGAGGCGTTCTTAAGAAACAGTAATTAACTAGGGAGTTCAGTGGTTTGGATTTTGGCCTGTGTGACTCGGGGCAAGTCATCTCCCCTCTCTGATCCCTGCTTGGCTCCAAGATAGGTGGCGTGGCTGCCCTCTGGGGCTGGGGACTGGGACAGGGGTGTTCCGCTCGTGCAGCCCCACCTGGCAATGGGCAGATGTGGGGCGGTGTTGGCGGCCGGGGGCAGCGGCTGCTCAAAGTGTCTGGGGCAGACAATGGCTCTGTGTGCAGGGGAGTGGGCGGGGCCGGGCCGGTGGCATAGTGGCTCCCCAGCAGGAATGTGCCAGCCTGTCTGGGAATGCAAGCATGTTGCTCCCCGCGTGGCCTGCTCCCCGATGGGGGCTCCCACCCTGCGACACTCGGTGTGTAGCCCAGAATGGCCAAGGGAGCAGAAGGCCAAGGGAGGCAGGCTAGGAATTCCTGGGTCCGCATCTCCTGCACGGCAACCTCCTGGGCACTGGAAGGGTGATGGCGAGGGGAATGGGGGAGCTTCCCTGTGCCACTGACTTGCTGGGTGACCTTGGACAAGCCCTTGCCTCCCTCCAGCCTCGTTTCCCTGTTGGTGCAGATGGTCTCTGATGGCCCTGTAGGGATTTCCTTGGGTTAAAACATTTCTTGTGGCCCAACCATGAGAATCGCTCTGCCTCACTCTTTTCCACGGTGTGGGGACTTGGTCTGTCTGGGTCACCACTCGGTCCCCAGGCCCAGAACAAAGCCTGTCTGTGGCTGTGCTCAGGAAATGTTTGCTGAATGAAGCCACGTTCATATCATTTGGATTATTCTCTGCTTGTTGCCCCCAGGCCCTTTCTTTGCTCGTCCTGCCTTTCAGCTGCCCCATCCCGTGGGTTCTTGGGGCAGTGGGTTTCTGGCTCAACAGATTCCAGTGGGTTTCAGCCAGTGGGAGGTACTGAAGGCTGGGCGGGTGGGAGGATGGAAGAGGGATATTTGTCCCCTGTTCCCCTCCTTGGTCGCAGCTGGGCCCGCCACAGCTGTAGCCCCTCTGTGTGTGGCCTGCACCCTGCCTCCCCTCTCACTGGCTTGCAGACCCTCAGGCCTCCTTGCCCCTCCTCAGCTTTGGGGAAGCTTACGGCTCCTCGGACACTTTTCCAGGGGCTTCACATCTCATCTGCCCACAGCTCAGAGGGGCCCCTTCCCCAAGATTTCCTCTCCCAAAGCCCCTATCTCTGTTTCCTGCCAGGACCTTGACACGTTCACTTGCTTTATCCTCCCAGCCACCAGGCCAGGTATCTTCATGATCCCCATTTTAAGATGAGAAAACTGAGGCCCAGAGAGGGTTTCTGAATGACTCTGAGCCTTGTGGCCAGAAAATGCCAGGATTTGAACCCCGGTCTTTGTTACTCCAGCATCTGAGGACCTTGGTCCTAGGCAACACATTATTGTCAGCTTTTTAGATGATCATGGTAGTAAAAGCTCAGAATGCTCAGCTGGACTGGCCAGCAAGTAACAAAAGAAACAATCAGGTTCCCTGACTCTTAGCCCAGCCCAGCCTGCAGTCCCTGGCTCACTGCCCATTCAGGGCGTCCTCTTCTCTCTTCTCCCTGGCGGGGGTGAGGAAAGGAGCTGGGTGGGCCAGGAGGCTTGCAGTCAGGGCCAGCAGAGTCCAGGGCTGGGCGCTTGCTCCAGCAGGGCCATCTCCAACCTGTAGCCAGGGCGGGACGGGCAAGGGGTGCAGACAGTCCCCTCCCAGGGGAACTCCCCGGCCGGTGAGTCCAAGGACCAGACAGGCTCCTGCACTCCGGAGGTGGCTGAGGCTGTTGGATGACTTCATGGGCCTTTCCCACCACTGAGTCACCCACACCTAACTCACTGGCCCCTGGGCACCTTTGGAGGAAAGGAGGCGGCTGGCGGACAGGGTGGGGCTCTATTACCTAGCGGTGCAGGGCGAGATGGGGGAAAGGAGGTGGGGGCCCGCCTCTGGACCCGGGGTGTTGCCTCTGGTGCATCACACCATCCCCTCAGGGGGTTCATCTAGAATCCCACCTTCCAGTGCAGGCTGGCCGGAATCGGCCACGTAAGGACTGTGGATGCAGTTGCCCCAGTGCAAAGGAAGGAATATGTCCCTGTCTGTCTGTCTGCCTGCTTGCCTCCTGGCCTGTACTCTGCACAGGTGTGAATCAGCCCAGGTGAGGAAGCTGATTCACCTTCCCCATCTGGCCCTGGAGAAAGGGCCACTTTCTCTTCCCTGGGGGTTGGAATTGAACTTGAACTCGACTGTTTTATAAAGACAGTGACTCTGCCATGGGGGATGGGGGGAGGACTCAGAGCCAGGACTTAGGGTGTCAGATCGCTAGGAGGATGTCACCGGCACCTACTAAGCACCTGGCTTGTGGCATCTATTTGGCAGGCATTATTTCAGAGAATCCGCAAACCAGCCTGCTGGCTATGTCCTCATTTTGGCAGGTGAAGAAAGTGAGGCTCTGGGGTTGGGGGGAGTGACCCACCTAAGGTCACATTGCCCAGGTAAGTGACTATGGGTGGAGGAGGTCTGACCTAAGTGCAAGATTCCAGGGTTTTTTGGGGGGTGATGGTTGTACTGCAGGGCATGCAAGGGGTGCGGACAGGCTCTTAGTTCCCCGACCAAGAAGTCCCTAAGCCCAGGGGTCTTGTCCTTGGAGGAACTCTCCTGCCCCAGGTAAGGCCAGGAGGGGCAGAGGCCGGGAGGGGAGGGGGGTTCAGAGCCAGCTTCCTTTTCGCACCCCCATCTGCATCACCAGGTCTAGGCATCACTTGGGAAGGCCTGAGCTCCTCCTCCTCGTCTGTTCTGCTGTCGTTAACCTTTAAACTGCCTGATGGTTAATTAATTACCAAGACTCAGCGGGGCTCGTTCTAGCGCACTGAGTGCCTGTGACCCGGGAGCCCTCGTTCGGCCCCCGTACCCCCAGCCCCCAAGGGTGAGCAGGGGCACACGCAGGCAAGGCCTGCTGGAGTCCCAGAGACAGTTGGGGGTGTCACTCACTGCTGTCGGGAGCACTGCTCGGTCCTGGGCCGTGGATGCCGCACAGCCAGCGGTCGGCAGGGGGGCAGGGCAGGGGCTGTCAGAGGGAGGACAGAACCGAGAGGCCAGGCAGGGCGAGGAGGGCTGCTGGGCCTCGCCCTGGCTCCTGCTTCATGGGTCTGTTGACGCCCGGCGCGCCCTGGGAGCTGGGTGTCATAGGCGCCCACCTCTGCGCCAGCTCTGAGGGCCCTCGAGCCCAATCAGGGTCTGCTGACTGGACGGGACAGGCCCAGCTGGGTTCTGACCCCCTCTGGCCCTTCGCTGGGCTGAGCCTCAGTTTCCCTTACCTACCTCACTTCCCAGCTTGCCTCATAGGGTCACCTGGGAAGAATGACCGCCCAGTGGAAACACTGGGGGCCGCAGTTGGTGGATGTAGAGTGGGGGGCAGGTCCTTGCTGAGACAGGACAGGACACATGACTGCTAATTCAAGGACTGACCTTGGCCTAATCCTTTCTCCTTTTCCAGCCTCAGTTTCCCTATGTGTAAAATGAGGGGTCGCATCAGTGAATGCCCAGGACCCTGGAGGGACTTTTAATGGGTGAATGAATGGATTGTTGGTGCTATGTGGAGCCCCAAGCCCACTGCTCCCCTCCCTGCCCCCGCCATGTACTGGGTACTCAGCTCAACCTCCCGGGAAGGTGCTGGGCTGTGAACACTAGCAACCATGTCTCCAGTAACACGGGAGGCTCCTGATCTGGTCATCTGAGGACCCCTGGCGACTGTCAGCTTGGTCAGCCAGGGCCCATGTGGTAGAGCTCAATCCTGCCCACGGTGACAATTTTTACCTTATCGCTGGGGAGACTGGGCCTCCCAGGAAACCTGAGATGCTGACCCTGGGAGGCAAGGGATCTTGGAATACATATGGTCTTCTGGGATTTTAGAGTTTTTTTAAATTAAAATGAAATATGGGACTTCCCTGGCAGTCCGGTGGTTACAACGCCACATTTTCACTGCAGGTGGCATGGGATCGGATCATTAATCGGGAAACTAAGACCCCACAAGCTGCATGGCAGGGCCAAAAAATTAAAATGCAAATCACAAGTAAAAATCAAAGTCCACAAAGACACCTTCTGTGTAGGAAGGCACATTCCCCTGCCCCCCTGCAGGGGTTGAATATTGTCCCCCAGATTCACGTCTACCCAGAACCTCAAATTGTGACCTTATTTGGAATAAGGTGGTTTTTCTTTTTTTTTTTTTTTTTCAGATGCAATTAGAATAAGGATCTCAAAATAAGATCATCATGGAATTGGGCAGGTCCTAAATCCAAGGACAATGTCCTTATAAGAGAAAGGAGGGGGATTTGAAAACGGAAACATAGAGAGAGGAAACAGGGACAGAGGGAGACGGAGCAGAGACGGGAGGGACGTGGTCACAAGTCCAGGGTGGCGGGAGCCACCAGCAGTTGCAGGAGGGCAAGAAGGATTCCACCCTAAGACTTCGGAGGGAGCCTGGCTCTCATGACACCTTGCTTTCGGACTTCTGGCCTCTGGAACTACGAGCATAAATGTCTCTTGCTTTTAGCCACTCAGTTTTTGGTTGTTTGTTACAGCAGGTCCAGGAAACCAATACAGACTCATCCCAGAGCCCTTCCCAGTTCCTGGTCTATCCCTCCACAGCTTCTCTCTGCTCCCTATGCAGAACTAACTTGTACACAAGAGACTGTGCTTTTCAAATAGACACACACCCCACATCATGTCCTGTAAATGGCGGTCACCCCCATCCACTGTGTCTGGGGAGGGCTCCGGCTTCTTACTCCTGCAGCTGACGTCATCCTTTCTAGTGTCTGCAGATAGCCTGCCCTGTGGTTCTACACCCCTCATTTAACGAGCCCTTGGGGATGGATGTGCAGGTAGCTTCCATCTTTTCTCAGTGCATACAGTGCCACCATGAACATCTTTGCACTATCTCTTTTGTGTGTGTCTGATGATTTCTGGGGCACAGAAGATCCCTCAGAAGGAAAATTCCTGAATCAAAGGGTAAACCTGTGTACAATTCTGTTGGCTTTGTCAAACGGAGTTAAAATCTGTTAGAAACTTAGATACCTGAGAAGAAAAGAAGCAATGGAGATAGACTTTTGGGGTTTATCGTGTTGGATACTTCCAACCCCAGAATCATGAGGGAGAGAGGGAGAAGGATCCTTGGAAAGGACATCTATGCTGGAGCCTCACTTGGGGAGACTCAGGAGTGACCACTCCGAGTCCCCCTGGGGTGAACAAGGAGAAAGCAGAGGAGATAGGACCGGGGGTGGGGTGGGCCCTGGGAGAGCCTGGCAGGAGCGAGGCACCTCCCCAACCTGGGTGCCTGGCTCCTCTGCCCCACTGAGGCTGCCCCTTTCCAGCCGGGGTGCTGCGCCAGCTGGGTCTCGGTGGCCACGCACACTGGTCCCTCTGTGTGTGGCACTGAAGGAGACGTGAAAGGAGGGCAGGGTGGGGACAGGGGAAATGGGACCATCTGCTCTAGCTGTGGCTGGAGGGCCGGGCTCTGGGGCAGGGCTCAGGGGGTCTGGGATAGACAGTAGTTGCCCGCCTTGGGGTCACCTCTGTCTTCAATTTGGTGGTTTTAGAAGATGCCCTGCCCCTTGGTATCTGACAGTCTTCTTACAGAGAGGTGGGGGGAGGTGTCTGTGTTCCTTTCCCTTAAATCTGAGTTCTGGGGATGCTTGGACAAAATGGTGGAGGTGATGCTGTGTCAGACCCAGGCTGTAAGAAATGGCAGCTTCCACCACCCATAACCCAGGTTGCTCATGCTTGGAACTCAACCACCACGCTGTGACAAAGCCCACCAGCTCCATGGAAGGGCCACGTGAAGGGAACAGAGGCCGCCACCCCCGCAGAGCTAATGGATCCTCCAGTCCCCCATTGAGTTGGCCCAGCTGATGCCTCCTGGTGCAAAACTGTGCCTTCCCTGATGAGCTCTGCTGAACTTGCAGATATGCTTGCTCTTGTTTCAAGCCATCAAATTTGGGGGTCATTTGTTACACAGTGACAGCTACCTGAGACACACCCACAGCCAAGAAAATCACCACCAGTGCCTGAACACAGGCTTTGGGGTCAGTCCCACCAGTCTTATCCCAAGACCTCTCTTGGCCTCTGCTTGTGCCTCTGCAAATAGTGGTTGTAATAGCACTTGCCTTGAGATGTGCTGAGAGGGTGGAATGAGATGAGGGGTGGAGGGGCTGGCAGAGTGTGAGCCACGGTGCATGGCAGCTTCTATGCTGTTGCCCATTACTGTTATTTTCGTAGGCACTAGAAAATGACCTACTCCAGGCTTCATTAAAATAGTCAGATCCTTCACTGATCATTCCTTCCTCCAGGAAGCCTTCTCTGACCATCTCAGGCTGAGCTGCTACCACCTTTGTGCACCTACAGCCTCCTGTTTTCTCCCTGCCATGACGTGGGTCCCACTGTGTGGTCATGGCCTGTTTACAGCTGCCAGGCTGGGAGCTCCTCAAGGGCATCAACAGAAGGGCTGGTAAGGGGTTGAAGAGTCCCATAGGAGGACAGGGTATGTGTGCACACAGGTGGGGCCCTGGGGCTGCTTGCTGTGGCTGTGTGACCCTCAGCCAGCCTGTGCACCCTGAGTGTGCCCTTGGGTGAGTCTTGTGTGCAAGGCCTCTGAGTGTTTTGGCCGGCCGTGCTCACGAGGATCCGTGTACCTGTGTCTGTAGGTAGACGTGGCGTGGGTATGTCTCAGTGCTTGTGTCCTGTGTGCACGCCTCTTGCACAAGCATGTTTGTGTACATGTGCCCGTGGAGGGGCATGAGTGCCAAGTACACAGGTGTGTCCGTGTGTGTGTGCGGGCGCGTGCTCCCGGAGGCAGGCTGCGGCAGTGAAAACCCTCCCTGTAGCAGCTGCTACATCCGGGTCTCACCATTCCTCATTTGGGAACTAAAAATAGCCTGGGCCCAGCCCTGTCCCAGCGGGCCGGGGGCCGACGGGCAGCCCCACCGGGCACCGTAGCCAGGCTACTGCCCTCCCCACTTCTTGGGCACTGCCCCGCCTCCCGGTCCCCGCCTCGGACTCCCATGAGCTCAGGCATGCCCTGCGCGGCCAGGCCAGTGAGGGGGTGGGGAGGTGCAGAGGCCCTGCCCACATCCAGGCGCTGGACGCGGGCAAGGCCTGATAAGGTCAAGCGTGGCGTGGGGTCCGCCCTCCCTCAGCCAAGGCCAGCCGGGCGGATATGAGTCAGCACAGGGGGCACTGGGAAGCCCAGGCCTGACCACTGGCTGGTGACGGGGAAGGCCCCCTGGGGTGGGCTCGCCTCCCTGGACAAGGCAGGAACTGGCTAGAAGGAATCACCTGCTGGTGTTGGCCAAGCCCTGACCTCATTCTCCACCTTGAGGAACCCCACCTCCACTTCCGCCCAGAAAGCCCCACTCAGGGGCCTCCTGCTCTCGTCTGGTCATACCCTGGATCTCCTGGGGACTTATACTCGCCCTGCAGAAGGACGCTTCCCAGTTTAACTGCTCTGCCCCAGGGCCTTCCACATGCCCCTTTCTCCAGAAGTCCTTATTGACCCCCAGGCTGGCCTCGGGCATCCCCTGGGCTCCCAGCTCCTCTCTGAGTTCCTCACTCTCAGAGTTAAGCCTGTTTATTCGTCTCTGGAGCATGAGCTTCTAAGGCCCGGGAAGCCTCTTTTCCATCTGTGTTCCTACAGGGGCCCCCACTTCTTCCCTTCACAGCCTAGGATGTGTCATCCTATTCTCCTCCACAGGGGAGGAAGCTGAGCCCTGGCAAGGATGTGACCGGTCCAAAGTCCCCACTTGCTGTGTGACTTTAGGCTGATGGCACAACCCTTCTGGTCTCCTTATCAGAGAATCAGTGGGACTCTAGCCTCTTGATGATGCTGTGTTGTCTAAGGGGACACTATGAATTCTTGAGGTATCCTGCCTGCAAATCCCACCCTGGACAGGCTGCACTGGGGGGGTCCCAGACACAGGCTCCACTGGGGTCTGTGTAGCCCCCAGCTAGACCAGAGGTTCAGGGGTGGAAATGCTACTGGTTGGAATTCAGATGGTTTCCAGACCTGGGGTTGAG